CTGTCCTGATGAAGACGATGATTGTTGTTCAATCAGGTCACATGACCCTCTGCTGGCTCTGAAACACTTCCTGTTTGCTGCCAGCTGTAGTTTAAAGGTTCCCAGCAGAGTGGGACCTGCTGCTGCCTGCAGCTCTTAGAGCACAGCTCTGCAACCTGGAGCCATTTTGCTCCCAGTCCATCGTAATAAAATGTTGTTTAAGAGCCGCGATTAATAAAAGATCTTTGAATAAAATAAAAGTGATTAATAATCTAAAATATCTGCTGAAGGAAATCTGTCACCTTTTTATTTTTGGAGGGTTTTTTACGGCACTAGTGCCTCATTTTTTGACGGGAAAGGGGAACGAGAGACACGCAGTGAAGGAGACCAGGTTAGATTGGAACCCGGGTCGGTCCTGGACTAAAGGCCGGTGTCCGTGGGTCAGCGCGCTAACCACTGCGCCGCCGAATCGCACCAAGCCTAATCTGCTGCCATTTTAAACAACAAATAAATGAGGAAAAAACATAAAATGCTTCATAAATAGGAAGCATTAAGTTTCTGCTTGATGATATTATTTGATGTTAAAGGAAAAATAAACATAATTTCCAAAATAACATAAAAAAAAATGGAACAACAAAATTTCTGGTGATTTTAGTGACATTATATTGTGAAAATTCATAAAAACTATATTTTTAAAAGCTAAAGCTTCTAATATTTGTCATTATATTTTATATATTTGCTCTGAGCCAATTTGTTTTTGTTTCAGGGAGAGTTCGATGTTCCCTTCAAAGTAAAAGCGGGACAGATCGGTAAGTCCTTCTTTTGTTTCTTTAACCCTTTAAAGCCTGAATTTATACCCAGCTATATATTTATATTATTTTTTTCTGTCAGTCAGATTTAAGATTTAATAAAGGTTATTAATTTCAACATTGCAGCTATAATTGTATATTTAAGGTATGAAGCCAATTAGCGACACGACGTATCTAAGCAGCAACATTTTCAGTCTCAGTATGTCTCAGTCTTTACGTTTTAAATTGACCAAATTTGAGGACAGTCAACTTGCTAAGAGTTTCCATGAAGTTCTAGTATTTCTTTGCAAAAAACAAAACAGTGTTTAAAACTGATCTACATCTTTTGTTGTTGTTTTTTTACCAATCATTGTTTTTATTGAAAATACCGTAAACATCAAACTTTCCCATGAGCCCCTTTATTGCAATAATAAATCAATGTTAGAAATGTAATCATCCCAGCCTTTAAATAAGCCACGCCCATCAGCTACCAGAACAAGCAGTACTGCAGTTCTATGTTTTGGCCACAGGTGGCAGTATCATCAGAAAACCTAAGTTATCGTTAGATTTAATTTTAGATAACAGTAACAAACGGAGGCTGATGGTGGCGCCCCGCCACAGCACTCTGATAGGAGCCACACCCTCAGAATGATTTAGGGGAGGAGTTTATGTAGATTTAGAATAATGTAGCAAAATGTGTATTTATGCAATATTTCTAATCATAATCAGAGTTATAAAGGAGTTAAAGCTGTTCTGAGTGTTTATCTGGTTAATGAAAAATGAACGTCCTTAATGAACTGAAGTGGTTTTGCTCCAATGTTGGAGTGATAGAAAGTTCTTCCTGCAGCAGTGTGGGGGGGTTTTAAGGCAGAGAAGGTGTGTTGGGATTGTAAAGTATAAATTTTTGTTGGGTTTGCTCCAGTCAGAGCTCAGTCTCTCCGTCTGCGGATGTAAAATAAATCTGAGCCTATATTGCAAGAACTGCCTGAAGCCTCAGTTTCTCCACACCTTCACACTAGGCTTCCAGACAGTTTGTGACGGCTCACCATCCAACATGCATACAGCTGAAGACGCACCTTCTTTTTGTTTTACTCCCATTAGGCAGACTTGGACCTGACTTTTTATTCCATATCTTAGTACATTTTTCCATTTGGGCCGTGCAGCCGGGGCTCCGGTCTGAACCCATGAAACTTCTCTGCTCTTAGTTTTTCAGGTTCAGTGTTCCATATGATTCTCATATTAGATAAATCAATATAATTCTCTACATCCTC